AATCGGACAAAGGCGCCGGACACACATGTAGATAATGATGAACCCAAGCTTTCAGAGCGCGACGAAGAAATAGAAAAGCTTCCCAAGATAACTATAAAACTCGCGAGAACAGGGCATAGGCCACCATCGGTCCAGTTACAGGGACCACAGTTAAAGAATGGAAAGGCGACTTTTTATGCGGATACAGGCGCAGAGATTTCGATTGTAAAGGTTAATTTTCTAAGCACAGACATGCTAATAGACAGTAGGTATCGAGTAGCTATTATCGGCGTGACTCACGGAGCACGCAAAACGTTGGGCACAGTACAGGCTCAGTTGCACGGATTAGAGTGCACATTACATGTAGTCCCCCATGACTTCCCAATTGACGCGGAAGGAATCATAGGGTGGGATATTTTTAAGCGATACCGGGGCCAAATAAGCGCCGCCGAGAATACGATTAAATTGGATAGCGTAGAGATACCACTGGTAAGGCCGGAGTGTTTTAAAATACCTGCGAGATCGAGGCAAGTAATTTATGCGCGAATAAGAAAAAGCAAAAATAATTCAGAAAATGGCTGGATACCCCTCCAAGAAATGGAGGAAGGAATATTGTTCGGAAACTTTATAGCCAGGAATGTTAATGGTAAAATAGTCGCAGAGTGCATTAATACAAGTAACGAAATAAAATACGTGCCTGTTCCGGAAGTAGAGCTGCTAGAATATGAGGAAATTTACCAGAAGCGCGCAGAGGACGTCAAAGGGGACGACGTCGAAAGCTTGGGGGAAGCAATGATAAGATTATTTGACAAAGAAAAAAGAGATGACAAAAAAAAAAAAAAAAAAAAAAAAAAAAAAACTATAGACGGCACGTATGATTGAACAACAGCTGAATTTATATATATTTCTTTTTTTTCCCATCTATACTCTATCGGTATATCGGTACGCTTTAATGCCGGTGCTGCAATTAAACGATACAAGAAGAAAGAAAGAGAGGGGGTAGAGTATAGAGAGCAATCAAGTGGCCTAACGGCGTCACGCGTTGACAAAGCGCCGCTGGGCGCCCGGACCTTCGAAGCTGACGACCGTGGGCCTGGCGCTGTAAGTCGGCATGGGCGGGCACCAGGGCCTGTAGCGCAGCTTGGGCAGCGGTAGGGGTAGCGGGGGTGGCTGGTACCTGAACCTCGGCCTGTGCTTGCTCGGGTCGAAGGCCTGATTCGCAAACACGTCGCCACTGCTGCTCACGCTCGACACCTTTCCCCCTCCATCAACGAGGGACACCTGCTGCTGCTTCAGTATCGAGCCGTGTGTCAAACTCGGCGAGGACCTCGTCTTCTTGCGGCTCGGCGGAGTTATCGACCCTCGCCGCGAGAGGTCCGGGGGCGACGACAGCGAGCGCGCGTTGTCGTACCGACTGGGGTACCGATGGGCCACCCACCGGCCAGCCAAGTAGGGCGCAATGTCACGAAGCTCGTGCACGTTGGGCGCCGACGTGAACATCTCTCCGAGGATGGACGTGCCGGCCCCCAAGTTGGAGCACTCCTCGGGGCTCGAGCCGCGCTCAAACAGCTCGCGCACCCTATTCACCGGCCTCCGAGCCACCAGCTCCCGGGTCTCCTTGTTTCCCCTTCCCCGGCCACCCACGCCCCACTCGCCCTTCAGCTCGGCCGTCTTGCTGATCACGTTGATGTGGGGCATCGTGAGATCCTCGATCTTCCAGGGGACCCGGGGTATGGGCGGGGAGGCGCCCCCTCGCCGGTGGCGGCGACCCCTCTGGACTGGCTCGTACTTGCGCCTGAGCCAGGCGACGTCGGGTATCTCCTGGGGCTTGATATAGTTGGGTTTCTCGGTGGCGCAGAGCTCCCTCAGGAGGCTCCGCGCGAGTTCCGGGTCGCTTTGGAAGCGCTTGGGTGGACCCCTCCAGCCCCGGGGCGAGGAGCACAGTTCCTCGAGGCTCTCGAACTTGGCGCGCAATTGGCGGACGGTGCCGTCGCGAGCCAACTTCAGGTAACTGCGCCAATAGCGCTCGGGATCGGGCGAACCGCCACGCAGCCAGAGCTCCGTGCCGGGTGACAAGCGTGGACTGGCGCTGCGCGCTCGGCTCCCCGTGACGGTGTCGCCGCGGTCACGCTCAGCCACCCTTCCCCCACTGTCCGGCCGTTTTTCCTCCCGCGGCACGACCGTCCCCGCGGACGCGTCGGAGCTCTCGGTCGTCGCCCCGCTGTCCACCCGCTCGGGCTTGTTAACCGTGGATAGTTTCTGGCCCGTTTTCTCCAACACCTCCTTGCCGAGGGTCAGCGACAGCTGCTTCTTCTCGTCCTCGGTCATGCCACCCGAGGCCCGGCAAATCGAGCCGCTCCGCTGCATACCCGAGCCAACGCTCGTCGGCTCCCCCTTTGACGCGATCATCGAGTGGCACCTGACGTGCAGCGGCTGCTCCAAGTCTCGCCGCTTCTTCTCGGGCACGAGGACCTCGTAGTCCGAGACGGACGAGGGGGAAGCCACCACAACGCCTTGGGGCTGATCGCTCCCGTAGATGTCGTTTAGCTGGTTTTTCAAGGCCGTGACCTGCTCGATGGACAAGCTACTCCAGAACTTGGTGCTCCCGCCGAGGCTCTTTTGGAGGGACGCCTGGATGGAGGGCCGGTCCGTGGGGGGCTCGAGCCTCCCGACGGCCCTTCGCGCGAGGGAGTCGGCCGCGCTGGCGACCGAGCTGCCCCGCCAAAGCGGCTTGTACGTGTCCTTCCTCGAGGCGATGTCGCGCCGGCGCCCCGCCTCGAGCTCGCTCTCCTCCCGGGCCAGCTTGTGGAACTGCTCCTTGATGCTCCCCACGGACCTCTCCTTGGCCCTGAGGCTCGCGTCCCCCCGCCACTTGGCGCGCTCCACGTCGCGAGTCGAAAAGAGAAAGTCCTTCTCCCGCTGGGCGAGCTTCAGCTTCCGGTATAGGCCTCGCAACTCCTGCTCGGCCCTCTCTCTGGTCCGCAGCTGCCGCCAGCGCTCGTAATCTATGACCTCCTCGTTCCGCAGCCTCGGCCGGAGCTCACCTAACGACGAGCCGGTCGTTGCCTCTTCCAGCCGTGCCACTCGCTCCAGACTCGCGTAAAACTCTCGCAGGTCCCGGTACTTTTTCGACGTCTGCCGCGAGCGCAGCCTCCCGGTGATGTACCGCTGGTACTCGTCCCGATCGGTGGGGGGGCCGAGAAGCGAGCCGGTGCTACGGCTGCCGGTGGCCAGGAGGGTCGGGCTCGAACCTAATCGGTGGCAGTAGTCGGCCTCGCTGGCGCTCCTTGCCCTGTCGAGTATCCTCCCGCGGTGGGGTTGTGGTGGTGGTCTACTCGGCGAGGGGGATTGGGCGCGGGTGGCCTTGAGCGGGGGCTCGCTGAGACTCCGCTCCTTGGGGGAGTCGCGCGGGGCCGGATCGGGGCTGCGGAGGGAGGTGGTCGAGCCGAAGGAGTCGGCGGCGCGGCGGTGGTAGGGGCTCGAGCTCCTGGACGAGATGCTCTCGCGCTCCCAGTTGCGGAAGCGCGAGTTGGACACGGGCCGCTTGTGGGCCAGGTAGATGCTCAGGGACTTGAGCGACGGCTCGGACCTGCACCCGTCGCTGATCACCTGAAAGGCCCGAGCTCGATCCAGCACCGAGGACCTACGGACGAGCGGGACCACCGAGGAGCGGGATGTCGAGGGTTCTTTGTGGGAGTTGCGGAGGAAAAGGTGCTGGAAGAAGGAGTCCGACATCGTGGCCTCGTGGTGCTTCTTCAGGAGATCGATGGTCAACGCGGGAGACGCGTCCGTCCTTGGTGTCGCTGCTACTTTCGCCCTGGCCGACGGTGATTTTTGGACCCTCCTTCTCTCGGATGGGCTTTTGGGCGATTTACCGAGGATCTCCCGGCCCCGGGGGGTGATGGCGGCCGTGATCTTCAGGGACTTGTCGTTGAGCCTGGTGCCCCCGAGGGCCGAGGCGAACGGAGTCGAGGAGCTCTTGACGACGGTGCCTGAGGCCAGGAGCTTGGTGGACACGGAGCGTGGGAAGCGGTCCCTCTGCCGCTGGAGGATCCGCCTGACCTCGATGGGGGCGGTCAGGTCGAGCGCGGATCTGCTCAGCCGTTTGCAGGACTCCTCTTGTTCCTTCCTCGTTCTGGCTCGGGGCTTTTGCTCCCTCTTCTGCCGGGACGGGACTGGATGCTGGCCGGAGATTGGGGCCCTCGTCGGGGCCTCGGTATGCCTCTTTGCGCGTAACGGCACGGGATTGGAATTGGGGCGCGAGAGACACGGAGATGATCTTGGCTTCGAGGACGAGGAGGCAGGACTCGGGGTGCGCCGAGTGTCGTCCACTGCCGTGATTGTAGCGGGGGTAGCCGAGTAGAGCTTGAGGGTGCGGTTGTTGCGCGAGGACTTTCTCTTGGGTGGCGAGGGTACTCTGTTGTTGGTGCTCGGAGGAGAAGCGGCGATGGGGGAGGTGGTCTTTTTCGTCGATGGGATGGACAGCGGGCGACTGGAGTTTTTGGGCGCTAACGGGGTCCTTTTGGACGGCTGCGACGCCATAGAAGCGACGATGGGAATGCGCGAGACGCTCATCGACGAGGTGGACGAAGCAGGTGAGGTCGAGCTGCTGTTGCTGCCGCACGTCTGCTTCTTTGTTCTACCAGACTTGGTCTTCTTCTTCTTTTTCGTCGTTGTAGTGCTGTGAACGCGGAGATTTATCAGTGTCGTTGCTGTCGATCCTGAGATCGGAAAGTACTCGATCTCCGTGTCGTCTGTGGACAGAGTTTTTTGTTTTGCTCAATCTTCTTGACTCGTTTCTTTTTTTTTTTTTTTTTTTTTTTTACTGTGAATGACAACAACATTGCCCCCGTAACCAGAATAATTCTTGGGTGGCGCCAATTGTAAGTAGTTTTCGTGCTCTGCTTGAAATCGATAGTATACGTGATACGGCTGCTTCGGTTTTTCCAGAAGTAGTAGTGGAAGTAGCTATAGTAGTTATACAGTAGTGGTGATGGTAGTAGTAGTAGTAGTAAGCGTGCGGAGATCCTTAGTTTCCTTAGGATTGTATACTTGGTTTTGCTGCTCGAGTGAACATTCGCATTATTGTACGTGAAGGCTCTTTATTTTTTATATTACTGCTTGCTTGGAGATACTTACACATTATCTGGTGCGTGAATTTTGGTGCTTATATTTGCTTAATATACGAGAAAGTTGAAGTAGTAGGAAAACGTGACGTCACAGAAGGTAACGAAAAATATTAAATAACTTGCATGAAATACCTACAGGCGTACCAACATTGATATAGAGTGACAGTACTTAGTAACAAAGTATTAGATGGTCCGTTTGATCGCAGAAAATGATTTTTTTGATGGGCAAAAAAAAAAAAATAATATAAATTGCTGTTGTTTTGTCGTTCGAAGTGAACTGTGCCTTTTAGATGAACGATAATTTTCGTAAAATTAAATGATTTTGCAAGAGCCGTAACAACTCCAACTATGTACACGTGTTGGTTACTCGATGTATGAAAGCATTTTATTGATTTTTTTTTTTCTCGAGGTAATGTAGTGAAACGACAAGAATATGATCTGCGTCTAAAGTATAAAAGACAAGTATAAAATTGGTGCAGATACAATCAAAAGAGTACAGTGCTATTCAGGAGAACATGAAAAATAAAAAAGTTGCAAAATTTAAAAACAAAAGTCCAAAGCTACTGACTGCATGCCTCCTTGTGATGCAAAATCAATTGGTTTCTACCTAAGCCAATAATGACAACGAGGCTCTACGGTATAAATTTGTGTTTTTTTTTTTTTTTATCTCGACATCATGCTGAATTAGTCAAATCGCTGTAACCGAGTTAAAAAATGCAAAAAATGGTCTACCGGCTATCGGGGTTTTCCAACACTGGCGTACATCTACGTAAGTGTATAAATGCATGCCAGTACGAGGAAAAAAAAAAAAAAAAAAAAAATTGAAAATAAAAAGAAAGCAAAAATTAAATCTTGCATGTCTACTTGCGAGTATTTGTAAAAAAAAAAAAAAAAAAAAAAAAAAAAAAANATTCAAAATTGGTATGCAAAATTATATCATAATCGGTTGAGTAGTTTTTTAAGCAATTGCAAGCATGAAAAAAAAAAGAATCGTACGGCAGGCGAAAAGGTGTGAAACTTACCTTTGGGTCGCTCGGGAGCAGGTTTGCGAAAACCATGAAGGGGAACGTCACCACCCTTCTGGACCGTCTTGTACGCTATCCTCTGCTCAAGTGGACTCAATGGACTGACGTCTTCGCGTCGACGGAAGACTAGAGTCGAGTCGCTTTCGTAGCCGGACTCCTTAAGGGCGCTGTTTGCACAAATGACATTGGTTTTTAAAAAAAATTCAATTTCATGTTTAATTGTAGTCACAAGATAAAAAACAACTAGGATGAACTATACGACGCTCGAGTCGAGGCTCTCGTTCATCCTAGTTTATTCGAGAAAAAGGAATATCTGCAGATTCGACTTACTGGGTCATGTAAGACTTGGGCGAGTGGGTGCTCGATTGCTCGAACGGCTGTAAAACAAACGCAAACGCACAATTGTACAAAACATCGTACTCTCCAAGTTTTCATCCAACAAAACGAATGTATAATCATGTAAAATCAATAGTTTCATCACATGCCAACAAACGTGCTGAAATTCAATTAGTCTCACGATTAAACGCATACAGTGAACAATTGTCCATATACACGGACAGTACAACAAAATTGTATCGTGTACAATAATAATATCGCTGGCCTTATTGTTAAACACATCAATTACTCGTGGCAGTTGTGTGTGTGTGTGTGTGTTAATTTGTTTCGGTGAAATTAATTTAGGGTGACTGTATCGATGCGAATCTACATGATCGGTGCGTTTTCGTTGAAGCTGTACAGTAAATAATTGATTACAAGCGTGCCTTGCTTAGGGTATGGGTATACATGTAAACAAAAGGAAGGAATCGTTTGTAAACGTACATAGGCTTTGTGCAGGCAAGGGTACACGTTTAATATTTTGCCGTCGTGGTTTTGTCACGGAGCAAATGTTGTATGCGTTTTATTGGCTGTGGTCCGTTAACGACGTACTTTGTACATCTCTTCATCCGACGTGTTTATGTAGGGTGTTCTTTCGTGTACACGTCAAATGTGGCATACATCTATATGGTATAAAAATGAATGGTTACTCGGTGTTTAAAATAAGTAATTTGCAGCTGTGTCAAAAGAAAAAAAGGGTTGTGGTGTATCTTAATGTTGTGAAGATGCTCAAGCTGATGGAACATGTGAGAATGGTAATCCTGAGAAAAATCATACACTGAGCTACAGGAGAGAAAAAGAGAAAGAGAGGGGAAAAAAATCGCTAGTCGTGCACGTCCATCTACAAAGGGATCATCATCATCAGATCGTACATTTGGCAATCAGCTAGACAGATAAAAAAAGGCATCCTCGATTCAGGTACATTTGTAATAAGAAACAAAACTGTACAGAAGAGCGAGCGAGCGAGCGAGCGCCGTGCGTGCAATGTATACGTGTGAAACGAACATAATAGCATAAAGTATATGTATATAAAAAAAAAAAGGAACAGAGAGGGAGTAAATGATATTTATGTAATATAATGGGGTGCATTGGTGCGTGAGGGGGGGTAGGCACGGGCCAGCCGCAGCGTCGCTCTAACCATCAGCAGTGAAGAAGAAGAGAAGGGCGCTACCGCGGCATGATTCGTGGACGTGGTCGTGCCGTTGGAGGATGAATTCGTGACCGAGGATGAGGAGGAAGCCGAAGACGACAGCAGAGCAATTTGGCCGGCCCCACCGATGCCCGTGATCGTCCCAGCGCCGCTCCCGCTCATCGACGACCTAAGCCCGTGACGCTGATTACTACTGTGATGGCGGTGGCGATTATTGTGACGATTCGTGATAACTGTGCCGTTGCTGCTACTATTGGTGGTGGTTGCGAGAACGGCCACCCTAGCCCCAGCACCGGCGGCTGGCCCGAGGTACGCCCAAGACGACGCGTCGTTCCGCACGTTCTCGTCATCGTCTTCGTCGTCGTCGTCATCGTCGTCATCGTCGTCGTCGTCCGTAGTCGCCAGGGGCTTGATCAGCCGGCGCTCCGAGTCGCCAGTCGAGCCGCTGCGTGGCCGGCTGACAACGATGCCCCCTCGAGTGAGCAGTCGGGCCCGGGTTTCGCTACCAGCCAGCTCGAAGAGGCTCTCGAGTAGCCGGGACTGGCGCAGGCGCTGCTGCTCGTCGTTGAGCTCGAGGTCCCGGCGGATCTTGCTGCTGGCGGCCGTCGTCGTCTGGGACCTCGGCCTCCGGCCGGCCTGGAGGAGCCGGTGCTCGAGGCTGGTGCCAGTCATGCCCCGCAGCGATTGTTGATGCGGTTGGGCTCGATTGCCCGCGCTTACGCTGTGAGAGAGGCGGGATTGCTGCTGGTGGTGGCGCTGACCGTAGGAGCCGAGGAGGCCCGTGGGCCTCGTCTTGGGCCGCTGGAGCAGACCGCTGGTGGGCGTCGAGCCGACGAGGCTGACCGTGGCTTGGGAGGGCTCGCGGCTCTGCAAGCGTCCGTTCTCGTCCAGCCACTGTAGTTGTTGTTGTTGTTGTTGTGGGGTGGTGGTGGTTGTTGTGTTGGATGTCGGGGGATGTATCAGATGATGTGCAGGTGATGTGGGTGCGCGTTGTCGTTCGTGGTGATTTGGGCGCGCAGCGAGAAATGGAAACGTTATGGGTTGTCAAGGGTGCAGACCAGAGAACACACGTAGATCCTTGGATTATCGCTTGGCTTTGCTTAGGGGGTGGATTGTGTTTGTGTGGTTTTTTTTTTTAACGATATTTCATTGGTAGTAACAAAAGAAAACAAAAAGAAAAAAAAATGTTTATGTTACAAGGAACAATCAAAAAGAAGAACAGTAGACGACTGTAATTTGATTTATTCGAAAATTTATGGTGCTTTCGCGGGGGGGGGGGCTAATTTTAATTCAAGTGTAGGATGTAGGAGAGGGGTATATATTTTCACTCGGATCGCTTTCGACTAATATTTGTGTCGGGCAAAGGGTTTCTCTGCAGTTTTATTGGGTTAACGATTGTTAGAAGTACGTTAGTTAATCTTATTTGTTAGTACGAATAAATTGACATGACAAAACAGCGTTATTGAAATGCAACAACTGTAAAGAAAGTTAGTATGGGTGAATGTACAGAAATCGTTTGCCCACAAAACGATTGATCGATTTTTTTATCTTTTTCATCTTTTTTTTATTTAGTAACGCATTATATGTGTTTGTTATAATAAAATTTTGCGTACCCCGTCAAATATGTCCATGACCTCGTCCCACCACTAGAAGAAAAAGGTTGAAAAATGATGTGTTACACTATGCGAATGTCTACTGTGGTTGTTAATTGTTAAAAGTTAATATAGAAAAAAAAAATCTCAAATAAAAATTAATCAATCAAATGAAGATTCACCACCAGCAAACGAAGAAGACGTCATCTATATTTTTATTTTTCAGTTTCCCTTATTTCTATACTCAGTAATATCACTTATTTACACAATTTTGTTCTACCAGTATAATCATAGATGACATCTACCAGAAAACTCCCTCAAAAAATTATCTAAAAGCGTGTTCGTACGAAAGCTAAATTATTAAAAAAACAAAGTGTACACGTCTATAATGGATTAAAACTAAATAAGAAGTCGAAAACCTTACGATTAATTGTTAAGTGCGGATGGAAAAAAAAAAAAATCATAAGCTTCCAAAACCATGAACAGTAGATATTATACAATGTTAAAAATACGTGTGAATCGTAATGTTGCCCTTAGCTGAAAAACGCAGCCCCTCTGTCGCACACGGCACGAAACAAATGAAAAAAAAAAAAAAAATCATCACAAAACAAAGCACTTTTTTCCTTATTATTATTCAAACAGTTAAATGCGTGAATAAGAGCAAAAAATTTGCAAGTTTGTATGAAAAAAAAAAAAAAAAAAAAGGAAGCAACTAAATCATTTCGTAAATTACCTTACGCTTCGCCCAAGAGAGATCTGACGTTGGCTGGAAGAAAAGCCATTGCAAACCATCATGTACGATTCTGTTATCACTCAAAACCCCATGGTTCTCTCATATATAAACGCCAAGTAAACAAAAGTAATCAATTTCCCCTCGAGGTCGCGACGAACCGAATGAAAAAAATCGGCCTAACTACTCGACGGAACCAATATAGCCTATCGGAGATTGCACGCGCGTGGCATCGTAATCCGATCACCATAGAAATCAGACTCCCCCCGAGTCGAGCGTATATACATCGAATGTATTTTGGCACCTGCGAAACTCCATCCGCATACATTTGCGCGTCGTTGTCCCCCCTCTACAAATTATACGCCCAGCACGCGGTACACGGCCATCACTCAATAGATCCACGGTTGGATGTATTTTTCCAGTCACGGTAAAATTGAAGAAAAGACCGGCTTACCTCTTTGGTCTCCTTCTCCTGGATCGAGCAGTTTCCCGGCACGTAGTCCTCTATCCTGCCCGGGTTCATGTGATACGTGTCCGGCGAGTAGTGGCCATCCGCTCGTCCAGTTCTAAAATAACCACAGGGGACATTTGTGACAATGGGCAACGTTTCCCCGATACACCGAGTCAATGCAGAATCAGATCTTACGGCCTGGGCAGGGTCGAAAAATCGTTGTCCTTGTGGCGCTGCCTGTGCCGGCGGCTGTCGAGTGTCGCGGATCTCTCGGAGTAGCTTCGCGGCTCGGGCTCGCTCAGGTAGCCGCTCGACGTTCCACTGTAGCCCGTCCTCGTACCTGCAATTACATACATAAACCATCGGTACGGTGGCAGTTGAACAAAAAAAAATATATATATATATAGATTTCATCCTTTTAAATATATATTTAGTTTTTAGTAGCAGCAGCAACAGCGCAGCGGCGGACAACAACGTAAAATGGTAGTCCTGTTTTAATAATGGGCGTGTGGGTGAGTGAGTAAGATGCAGCCAGCCATGGTCTTGCGTTAGGATATTGATAAATAAAGAAAAAAAAAAATAGCACGACATTGTATAATTTGAAAAAGCGTGAGTATCGGGTAAACTCTTGTATTCAGCTCAGCCGTGAAAGCCTGGATTATTTGACAAAAACGTGTAAAAATAATTTGTGCGGGTGATGGACGCGCAGTGATCTTGCCATGACAACACAAGCTCGACATTGCTACGTACGTGTATATAATACAGGCACAAACAGCTTTAGAAAATTTATTCGTATTTAATGCTGTACACGCAGGCTTAACGCAGATGAGCTAAGCGCATCAAAAGGTGATGGTTAACGCGATTGCCCTCGCGAGCAAATCATCATCGGGATGGAGCGTGATTTAGAACGTATATACATATATATATATATGTACAGATTATGGAATATATATGTGGGTGTAGGGAATGGGTGGGAGATTAAGCACATTGCTATATTATTTGTATTATTTTTGCTTTCGAGTATCGGCATCTCTTCGGTGCACCGCATACATTATAATAGATATTACTTGGTGAGCGTTAATACAACCAAACAGTGATATTACGAACGTATAAAATATTCAAGCGTCATTAATATATGTGTGTATATGTTACGCATAATATTGACGCTATGCGCGAGCACAAACATCGAGGGTTTTGATGAAATAAATAAATCATTATTATTATTATTATTATTATTATTTTTGTTGTTGTTGTTGTGATTAAATTGTTGCTGTAATATCATACGTATTGAATTAACAGACTAGATGGCACACGGTGGGGATACAAAGGGAGAGAAGGGGGGAGGGTAGAATTGCGATACAAAAAAATTAGTTAATAAGCTAAATATAGTAAAATTGGCAGCCAAGTTAATAAATCGCACGGCGTCACGAGCTTTGCAGCACAGAAATTGTTGTGAGGCACTTTTTTATTTGTTTTAAATCGATAGGTTCTATAATCACCTCTGTGTGGTTTGTAGCGGACGGTTACGTAGTCGTCTGTAAATGCGAAAGAGATGGTTTTTTCCTTTAGATAATTTTTTTTATTTTACAATTGTAAAAAAGAAAGAAAGCTCTTTGTAAATTATTAATTTTTTTTTTTGCATTGCTTTTCTCTGACCGTGTTTTGGGACGCGATGAAGGGATTCGTACATTCGCTTGTACCACTTTGCCTGATTGCCCTCTTTGACCTCCTGTAAAAATTACACAGAGTCTTTTTCTTTTCTCTCTTCCGTATGAATATAGGCCTGCTTCGAGAGAAATTTATACTTTTAAGGCGATTAGAGCTACGAGCATTGATTCAAACTTTGAGTGACTTTAGCTGTTGTAAACTTATTTTTAATTGTCTCGTCGTTAAATCAAGCTTTTACTTAATAAATGCCTAAGCCACTTTAATCCGCACAGAAATAACACGTTTACGTGGCTGTGCAAAGTTGGATTAAAACCACTTTGATCTCGAGAGTTATTGAATTTTTAAATTATTTTTGCAACACTTTTGCTAAAATTGAACAATTTGAAAATCAAAAAACTAATTTGGTTTTTCCCCCAGGGTTTTTTAGCCGGCCAGGCCATGACTTACGGATCTCAGTACGATGGGTATGCCGTTTCTCGTTGTCGGGCCGATGCCCTCGTACTTGCGGGGGCCGAGCTCGGCCATCTTCTTGGCCCGTTCATTTTCGGTCTCTGGCTCGCTCTCGTACTCCCTCCTCGGCGCATGGGCTGCTCGAGTTTTGCAACGTCACATTTTTCAAGTCAGCTTTTTACTCTTATTTTTCATTTTTATTTTGTCGTCACGCAGATATACATATAGTGTTTTTGGCGCGTTCGATCGAGCAAAGGGGAGGAGCGGGATGAAGACAAAGCCAACGATGGATGACTTTAAGCGAGAAATTGAGGTACTTACTGACTTCCCCGGGACTCTGCAGTGGCTTCTCCTCTCTGGCCGAGGCGATGTGATCAGTCTCGTCCAGGTAAGCCGCTCCCTTTGGTAACTGTCCCTCTGTTGATGAAACCAAAAAAAAAAAAAAAAAAAAAAACCAAGATACCAGTGCTGTCTAAGCGTTCTTGCAAAAAGTAAATTAAAACGCAGCACAGCCTCCCCCACAGTGCAGCAGAAAACCAAACGAAAATCCCGGAGCGCATGCAAAAAGCAAACAGTGCCCCGCGAGAGTATATAGGCACTGAATATATAGGTGGTGCGCTTTCAATGTTTCAGCAGCAGTATAGCGCACGCGCGACGATGACATTTCCAGATACGATTCATTTTTTCCGGCGGAATAATTAGGGGCTCCGTGATAGTCGCGCGACTGTGGCAGGGGAATGGGGGCTAAAGTTGGCACCCCCCACGCTACGCGTTACATAAATAATGGGCTGCTTTTTCCTTGCCAACTACTCGCTTGCGTCCCGTTGCGAATTTGTCCGCGCATTGGCGTTGAAATAAACACGCGGAGAGACTTTTTTTTTTTTTTTTTTTTTTTTTTTTTTTTTTTTTTTTTTTTTTTTTTNACTGAATATATAGGTGGTGCGCTTTCAATGTTTCAGCAGCAGTATAGCGCACGCGCGACGATGACATTTCCAGATACGATTCATTTTTTCCGGCGGAATAATTAGGGGCTCCGTGATAGTCGCGCGACTGTGGCAGGGGAATGGGGGCTAAAGTTGGCACCCCCCACGCTACGCGTTACATAAATAATGGGCTGCTTTTTCCTTGCCAACTACTCGCTTGCGTCCCGTTGCGAATTTGTCCGCGCATTGGCGTTGAAATAAACACGCGGAGAGGATTTTTTTTTTTTTTTTTTTTTTTTGTCGCGTGTTTGAAACGTGTCAAATGGGTGTATACATATGGGGTATGGGTGGTACAATTGTTATGGCTTCTATAAATAGGAGTTATATGGGTTGTGAGCGGCGGAGCGAGTTTGCCAAAAAAAACACGAAAGCTCGGCACGCAGGGGCCGCGGAGGGAAAACATATTGCGTCAGCCGTGTAGAAACGAGGCCTGGGATATGAGATATCGGAGGCACTGGGTCAAAGTAGTTTCGGTGGGCTTTTGTTTGCTTTTCTTATTAATACGACGACGTAGGGGTTCGGGAGGTGGAAACAAAAAAAAAAAAAAAAAAAAGGGATGCACCCACCTGCGTGACCTTCTTTCTGCTCAGTATTGGACTCTCGAAGGCGACCGGACGGAACTCCTTTCTCTCGGGGACGGGGCTGGGTCCTGCGCTCGACGGTGTCCAAACCGCCGGTATCGGCTCATCCNTCGGGAGGTGGAAACAAAAAAAAAAAAAAAAAAAAAAACGACAAGCTTTGAGCGGTGACGGGAAAAAAAACGGGAAACAAGCAAGTCGGCTGTTTATGTGGTATATTGATTGATTGTTCACCAAACGATTTATTTTGACAAATAGTTTGTAAAGGGAAGCGGATCAAAAGTTTTGCCAACAACTGCAAAGCGGACCCGCACAGCTTTTATTAAACGCGTTTCTGGCGGATGGGGCATGACGGGCGGTGCCCATATTATTAAAAAGCAGCCCCGCAAACGTGGTCATTATGCAAGTCGCAAACGTGTAATGCAGCATAATAATCGCGTATTTTTTGAGCACCGGAGCCCGGAAAAATATAATTGCTCCCAAGTTGCTGATGCATCCCACTCGCGAGCTGCGGATAACGAGAGCTACCAAGTACACCTCAAAAAGGCTATAAGGTGAAAATAGCAGCCACTGTATGGAAAATCACGCGCTCTGGCGTAAATGTAGCACCTCGCGTGTATAATCGTACGATCGGGGAAAAAGCAGGGGAACAAAATGCTCGCGGGGGGGCTTTCTTTTCGCGGCGTTGTTAATTCAACGATAAACTCGAGCCCCGAATGAAAAGCTCTCCCCTGGTTTTTCGCGGCTCCACGTGGCTTTTCCGAGCACAGCTCGCGCCGATCCAAAGTAGGTTAATTGACGCGGGGGTTCCGCGATTTTAATTTTTCATCTGCCCAGCTGGCCGTTTAATTTGCTTTCGAAACACGTCATTTTTTTCTTCCTTTGGGTGCGATAAATTTTTTTTTTCTGTTTCACAGCTCGATCGTGAAATACGGGCAATGGGATTTGCAGTCAATTATGCCGCACGTGCGTTTGCGATAAATTGTTTGTGCTACATTGAATCCGAAGGCAATAAATTCCGATCCGTGTTTCTTTCATTCTTCTTTTTTTTTTTTTTTTTTTTTTTTTTTTTTTTTTCACAAATTCCGACGCAGCAAGGCAATAAAACACAAGCGAAGCGATCCCGTTAAAATGCCAATAACAATAACAAAAACACACACACACTCATGTTTGGCACACCCAATTTACCTGGCTTTGCAGTCATCGACGCTTTGAACGTCGGAGCGATCATTTCTGAAAACACCAATCGGTTCCACGGTTAATCACACGCGAACACATACGTTTTAACTCACAATGTCCCAAGCTAGTTTTTCTCCGCTGCTCCCTTAGCCAACCAATTTTCCCCTTCTACCCCCAGGAAAAACTTTGGCTTCCACCAGCGAGGGCGCAGAGGAAAGTTTTCCACAAGTTGTGCGTTTACTTTGGGGATTAATTTACAGTGCGGGATGAACTGCACCAGACTCCGAAGCTAGATTAAATATGGGTTACACCGCGAGTGGGCACACAACACGTACACCTGCTTGTAATTCTGGCAAATGTTTTCGCCGGGGTGAAGTTGGTGTACACGTTTTCGTTCCAACTTTTGGAAAACATACAAAGGAATAATATGATACAGGGCAAATATTTTTCCTCACCGTACGACACACGTATACACACGTATATGCGCCAAAGCTCGGGCCAGGCTTTGAGAACTCCTCCGATATTTATACGCCCCTTATTTCTCAACGGACACGGAAAATGTGCACCCCCTTTGCCGTGCGCATAATTCAAAGCGCGGGAGGGTAATCAGGTTTTTCAAGAAAAATCAGCGGCAAGTCGATCCACCGGTACACCAAAGACCCCCCGGCCCGGTGCGCCTGTATATTTATATGTGTATTGTGCGCTCGAGGTTGGCGGGTGGAACGACTTTTTCCTTATCACCCGAGACACTTTGGCCGCTCCGGCGGAAGAGATACGACGACGATCCCGAGGGTCGTATGTAAACACGAGCGCGAGCTACATACACTATATGCACGGAGGGAGGGCGAAGAACTCGGGGAGCTGATTTTTCGCGAGTATCTCAAAACGACCTTTCCTACACCCAGACTCGTGTGTACTTAGTGCGGAGGTGGGGCAAGCGAGCCGTGTCTTCGCGGTTCATTAATACAGAAGCGCACTTGACGAGGAGGAGGGGGGATGGTGAGTGTGGAAAAAGGGCACGGAAAGCTCGTGCGACTGGGACGACTCTCGGCGCACGTTTCGCCTCTTCAATCCGTTGATAGTAACCTCGCGCTCTTACTAACGGACATTTACTTTCGTTAATCCTTTTGTTTAAACTAAATGCTTCGCATTACATGCGGAACAGATATACACTTAATTTTGATGTACTAAAATACACCCGGATTGCGCCGTTAAAGATAAGCCTCGTTATTTTTTTTCCTCCTCCTCCTCCTCCTTCGCTTTTTCCGTGGCTCGCAGTCTCTGGCCTATATAAAAACGCGCGATGTTTATGGCACGCTCATTAGACAAAATAACCATTAATCCAGAGCCGGTAGCCTATACACGGGCAAGACGAAACATTAATTGGCCCACCGAATAACGTACGGGTTTTCACTAATCCATTAATAGAGAGACCATGCCCCTGCCTTTTCGCAACTTATTTTTAGTTTCCGCTCTCCCGTACACGCGCTTGCAATTTATAGCTCCGTTCGCCGTGTTGGACAGATAGTTTTGAATATCCTCGTACTTAACTCCCCCTTTTTTTGCAACTTTTAACAAAATCGAATCGTTAAACTAAAAAGTTTACGTAACCCGAAGAAAGATATTGTCGGCGAAAGTACAAGTGCGTTTTATTTCCGTCAAGTGATCGCTGCGCCATACACTGCGCTTCCTCTCGACGTTTCTCTTTCTCCTTTTGGCGCGTAAAGCTCTCGACGGAGACGAGGAAGGAGGGGGTGCTCCCGCGGATGATTCAGAGCCGCGGATAAATGGGCCGTATTTATATACACGCTGTGGTCGTGCAACTTGTTGAACAGACGCCCGCTTTGATTCGTCCCGTTGCGCAACATCGGCTCAAAAAAATGCCGAAGAATTTTCGGGGGTATACGCCTGTAGCGCGCGTGTACTTTACCACGCATCGGCGAGTTTGAGAAATGGAGGTGAAATCGCGCGGACGTCCGCGCGCGAAGGGGATTTTAAAATTGGCCCCCCCGTATAGGTGTAACTTATTCGCGTTGCGTAATTGTAGGGAGCTCCCTGCACCCGAGCGATCGTCAAATCAAACGATCCAGAACAAAAAAAAACAAAAAAAAAAAACAAGGTCTAAGGTTGCGTGCAGCTCTGCGCTGCTCCTCCGATTCTATTTTCCGTCCGTCTGGCTATACTTGGGCTTCTTCTACTGAATGGATCGCCGCGCGCGTTTCTCTTGAATTTCCTCGAAAACAAGCACGCACTCCCCTCAAAGCGATTCGCTCTACAGATACCACCAAAGCTACACTAAACACACCAATTGGGAAACGGGACACTCTTTTATTTCTTTTTTTCTTGTAACCCCGCATCAAATGGCACTGAACAATGAATTGAAGGATTTGGGAAACAAGGTAGGAGGTGCTCGCTCACTTTTCTCCAGCATTTCGTGATCGAGGGTGGCGCACTGTATTAAACTCCGTCCTCGCAAAAGCCCCGAGAGATGTGCTGCTGGTCGGTTATACTCCCCCGTACAAGCGCTGTACACACGCGCGAAAAAGACCGAAAAGAAGACGAACGGAGGAAATGGAGCTTGCGCGCGCGCGCTCTGTTCGTAATGTATGTATATACACGGCACATCAGGCGCAAGCTGTCTCGAGGGTTCGCCGGCGCTCGCAGAACTGAGCGTCGCGACGCTACGGCTCTCTCTCTCTCTCTCTGCTCGCGATGCCGTTTCCGCTTACGTTTCACGTCGCCGACGAAGCCCGCCTCTCTCTCTCTCTCCGGTGTACGGAGTATAAGGTGTATATAGAAGCTTGGAACGAGAGTAGGAGAGACAGATGACGATTATATGGGCGCCAGCCAAGTGAGTATCCGCTGCTTGGTCGCTCCGTATGTACCTGGTGGACGGAAAGTAAGCTCGAGATACGCATTGACGTCTAACCGGTGTATACCGATACACGGGCTCGAGCTTTCGAGGTCGTTGATCCGATGGACCGCCGCTGATTGAGCTTTATTTTCGGCTATACTCGGACACGGAGTTCCCTCCGCTGCCTTTGACGCGCGTGGGAGTCCGATTCAAAACGCGCACCTTTTTTTTTCCCCTCCTCCGCAAAACGAACGAGTATAGGCTAGCGTAAATCGTGTCATCTGAATTAATTTTAGTTTGAACGATTTCATTATGCAAAACCATACGACGCGCTGGTATATAGAGGAGTGACATGAATATTCCCTCGCGCGGATTATAAACGCGCTTGCAAAGAGGTTTCATAAATTTTGCGGTGAAAATCGGTTAGGGGAGGGTGGGAAGGGCTCAAGTGACTTTACCCCCCGGAAAAATGATGTGCCGGCTTACAGGGGGGAAGCGAGAATATCGCACTTTATGTTACACGCTGGAAACTCATTTCACCGTAATAACAATTTTCTTTCTTTCTTTTTTTTTTTTTCCTTCGAACCCCCTCCACGCGACAGCCCCTATTTGGAGGAGCTAAATAAAAAAACTGCCTTTCAATAAAGTCAACGGCTCTTTTTCCGTAAACACATCCAATTATTTTTGTTGTTTTCCGGTATAGCGTAAAAAAAAAAAGAAAAAAAAACTTCGACCTTGTCTCACGCCCGTGTCGACAGACGTAACAACGACACCATCTCGCGATCAAACACAATCGGACACCCCCCGCGTCGAATTATCCGCAACTGGGAATAAGACACACACGCCCACCTGGGCAATCGGAGCGCGAAGGACGACAGAGACACGCTGGATTTTGTAAGCTGAGCTTCGGTCTCGCAACGCGGTGATTCTTGTTTTTCCGCGTGTACCCCCTTCCTTCTTCTCTCACGGGGGATCAGATTGTACATAAAGGATTTTCTTTTCCATTTTTGTTTTCCCTTTATCTCCCGCTCAAGATTTGAAACGGGCGTTCGACGATCAGTTGCGCAACGTTTTTCTAAAAAAAAATTGCACGAATCTTCGAACGGGAACGCACGGCTGCTCAAATATTGCTCGGATCAAACCGTACACGTTTTGAATCGTAAAATGATGGAAACACTCCCACACCCATTTGTATAAACACTAGGAAGCTCTTACGCTCAAAAATCCCGTATCTGCGGTACAACGACGATGCAATGCTGACACCGCCCACTGAGCTTCGCAAATAATTCAAGCACATCGAAAGCTTATTAATTTCATCCATCACACGGGTACACTGTACCGCGGACGGTTCGCGTTACATCATCGTCCCGAGGGAAGGTTTGCTCTTCGAAACCCCACATTTATCGTCATACGTGCAGTAAAAACTTGATGTATCCCCCTATAAAACACCTGTCCCTCCCGCTCGAGCACCAAACGGTCTTTCGTATACGTATAGCCGCGAGCTCTTCCATCAAACTTGTATACACGCAAAAAGCGCTCCATCTTTCTCGATACATCGATCGTTCGGCCCTGGGGCTCTTGGCTCGTCCAAAAGTAGGCGACGAGGAGCCCACCAGGACGTATAAATACATGGGGGAGGGAATGACGGTTGCCGGAAACGACACGCAACGTCTTTCCCCATATATACTCGAGTGTACTTGCTATTCTTCCAAACTTTTCCCTCTTATGCACCCCGGAACTTTCAACTCCGTTTTAGTCCCCGCTACTTTGCGAGTATACTCAACGATCGGTGCGGGAGTTTTTTTTTCCCCCGAGGGAGAAAGTTGCCCGTCCGCGCTCATTGGTTTTCGAAATCAATCAAAAATCGGGGCTCCCTCGAGCACGAAAACGAGCCGACTTTTTTTGTTTCGCGTCTCAAGCCGGCAAAAACGCTCGTTTTATCATTTTGCCCGTCCATTTTTATCGGCACTTTTCTCGGAACCCCCGTACAATTTGAAACCACGACTGTTATTTATTTACCCAATGAACTATCAAGCTTTTGCCAACTCGAGTTTGTTTCTCCCCTCCACTACCGGCAAGTGAAAAAGTGCGACAAAACAATTGAATTTTCCAAAATCTAATTATCGCTCACCTGCACCCCTACGGAAGCATCACCCCCGTGTTTTTTCTCCCCCCCCCCAAACCGCGAGTGCACGGAAGCGACACGTATACGCGTGGTGTCATAAACGAGGCATGGCACGACGGTGGGCGCGATACAGTTGGTTGTTTGCGTGCATACGAGCGCGAGATAGCGAGAGTCTCTCGGGCTGCTTCGGCGTGTATACGTGTGCCGCGTTATCAAGTGGCTCCCCATGGGGCAATTACGCCACTTTTTTTTTGGCTCCCGTTTCCTCGCACAATACAGGCACTGTACGTGTACGTGCGGTGTATAGGGATGAGTTTTCCGATAAGTTTGGTTAAAAAAGGGGCACTCTCAATTACGTATGATGCTACGTTACAATTAACGCCCCGACGTTGAATGTTGGCAAACGCGTATACGGCAGCTACCGTCCTTTTCATCCCGCAAATAGAGACGCCGGACGCGTACGTACCAACCTATGCGTCTCGGGTCGAAAAAAAACGGCCTTTGTCGTCGTCGCTTATCGTTACATTTTTTACATCGGTCTGCTCCCTCCGTTTTTTCCACTTTTTCAAACTCCAACCCCCCTCCCCCGTTTAGCCGTCTCGAGCTTCTTTTGTGCGAAAACGCTGGCGCTGGAAGTGGGTCGCCGTTACACACACACAGAGAGCAAGCGAGGGAGGCTGGCGTATAACGCGTGTTCGCACGGGCTAGGTATGTATACACACACACACACACACACACACACACACACACACGCACGCAGAGCAAACACAAACCTCCTCTTTCTTCTCTGCCGGCTAGCAAAAATCCCCGGCCGAGGCTCAGAGCGCCGTCAATCTCGTGCAGCAAATCCGTGCCGGTCCCAGCCTTGAGATCCGTCTCCTTACTCGGCAAATTACCCGCAGCTAGAATTAGTACGTACCGTTTGCAGTTAACAATCGTCATATCGCCACGGTTCCACCTCTGGACATGTGTGTATTATATATAGGTTGCATGTGTACAACAAACAAGACTCGGACGGCACAACATGTATATGAAAGAAAGATTTGCTGGGATGGTACATTATAAGCCATTTCTTTGCCCCCCCCCCCCCAGAGATTGTGTTTTATCCAAAAAAACAAAAAAACAAAACAAAACAAAAAAAAAAGTCGTTGTCGAGATAACGAGTTGTTGTCGTCGTTAGGAGTAAACGAGGGCAAATTTTCTTTTCTCGCTCGTTATATTTTGTCATAATTACCCGGGGAAACGCGGGTTTGTTTTTCGCTCCGAGGACGATACAACGACACAAGCGCGAAACGATGATTTTACCATGAAATAGCCTACAATTTTATACACATTGACTCGATCACACATTAGCAAATGAAATGATTGTTAGTTGGTACGTACGGTTGAATCACCGTGATTTCAGATACGTTAAAACTTGCGAAAGGCAATCACGCCGGACATAACAATAGCTATAGCCCCAGAGAGCCCATTGTTATTATTACACGCCCTCGCACGTACATGCGTGTGTAATATACGAACCGGTCAAAATCCGTGGACGGAACACTACACTCCAGACGGATATCCAATATCTCGCGTTAATCGAGCGCTGGACTCTCTCTCTCTCTCTCTGCTTTTCATCAAGTTTCTAATAGCCTCCCCCCCCCCCCCAAGTTCGGGTATCGCCATTAAGGCTCGGTCACGCGCTATAACCCCCCCAAAACTTCCTCCATGGGTATACGTTGTATACCTGCATTTTAGGCGATGCGTATGATAATATACATATGTGTGTTCGGCTTTTGGTTTCGCAACGTTCGAAAATAGCCGAAAGGGAGCCGGTAGCGCGGAGCCGTAAAATCTCGGGGATATAAGTATACGCGTGCTGGCCTATATTACATTTTTCCTCTTGGCGCGAGAGAGAGATGCACACCCCCTCCTGCCCCTGTACATAAATATAGTCTCGGGCTGCGAACGGCGCAGTTTTTTTTTCATCCCACCGGCAAGCAAAGCCCCTCCAGCTACTTTGGAAATTGCCTTCTCCCGCGTTTATGCGCTTAAATTATTTTGATTCAGTTTTTTTTTTTCAAAGGAAACCATAAGGCGTATAGTTGCCTCCGAGAAACGGGCTTTTGTCTTTGTTGCGCAAGAGGCGCTTTCCATCCCTACCGCCCGCGCCGCACAATCGAATACATGGAGCCTCGAAATAAGCCGTGAGACGTTGGTGGATATATATATATACATATGCAAAGGGGCACGGGAGGATGGGAGTCGGGTCGTAAGAAGTACAATGCTTCCCACCGTGCTCGTCTTGATTTGTTGTGTTCTTGCTTCTTGCGACGAGAGACGCTTTAGCAGTGCCTTCAAGTGGTATATAAGTATATATATATATATATATATATATATATGCATTTGTTCGCTCCCTTGGAGCTTTAATTAACACGGCCATTGACAATTCGCAGACTCAAAGGATTTGTCCCCGATGACGGCGTGCTTCGGATACGGAAATCATACTCGCTTTGCCTTAAAAAATCAAGTATCGTTTCTACTGGTGTACGGCGCAACCAAAAATTTGGGTGGGTGTGTCTCGAAAACAATAATTGAGAACCACATGATTGTTGAAAAATTCTCGAGTATCACTTGTCACAAGGTATCGTAAAAATTTCGAAATGACACATGTACCGTTGATAGGTGTAATCTACGTAATTATCACCTCTCGCAAATTAGTCATTCAAGGGGTATGATAAATTGATTTCTCTAACTAAAATGATTCCAGTCACATAAAGTTGCTTACAAAAGGTAACACAAGAGATTCAAAATTTCTCACAAAAGACACCCCCTCGAAGGAAGAAAAAAAAAAAAAAAAAAAAACAGATCCACTCGGTGAGTAAAAACCAATCGTTAAACGCACGTGTGTTAATTAGCAGAGCCATGCCCACGTACACTCAAGTATGTGTCACAACAATGCGTATAGGATATCAGTAAGCTAAGTACACAACATAATATGCATGTTAGCGACAGTTGGCTGTAAACTAACGCACACAAACACACGCATACGCACGTAATGGATCGTTGTCGAGGAGCTGTTGTCACGTAGCTGCACATGTATACTACGTGTATGTATAAACATCAGCCACAGGCGGTACGGTATACGTCCATACCATCGAGGCGAGCGATATCACTCAACGAGCAAACACGCGCGCGCGGTAACGATATCCGAGTTAATCGATGATTGCCAAGATATTCAAGCGACAAGCCCGCGGGGAAAAGCCAAATCTATTAATACAACACACACACACACACACACACCCGCGCTTGCCAACAAGCTCACCCGCGTCTTCCTCCTCCTCCTCCTCCTCCTTTTTGGTCGATAGCTCGAGGAACTCTTGCAGGTGTTTGGGCAGGCGTCTCGCGTCCCTCACCTCCTCGCCACCGACGATCAACTTGGCATCGCCAGGGATAGGTGGCTCCGTGCTCGCACCCCCCTCGGTCTCGCTGTCGTCGAGCCTGACGCCTTGCCTGCTCAGCCGGCTCCTCGCCCTCGCGATAAACTCCTGCTCGACCTTGTTCATGTCCTCGTCGCGTTGCCTGCCCCTCCTACTCGGCCCCACCTGCCCCTCGAGGTCCGCGCACGAGCTTATCTTGATGACCCTGTGCTGCTTGCGCTCCTCGCGCTCGAGCACCTTGTGCACGTACTCCTCGTACATCTGCTGGCGAAGGGCCTCGCCCAGCCCGAGTGGCACCACTTGCCTCTCCCTGCTCTCCAGTGGCGGGGTGGCCGGTTTTTCCGGCACCCGGACACCTTTTTCTTCTTCTTCTTCTTCGTTGGCGGGCTCGTCGTGCAGGTACCTGAAGAAAGCTTTGAGCTTGGACTCGCTCTCGGCCTCCCTCATCGCGCCCACCTCCCGGATGCCGTTCTTCAGTTGGCTCTGTAGGTGCTCGATGTGCCTCAGCTGCCGGTCAAAGTACTCCCTGGACGACTCGGGTTTGCCCCGCTGTTGTTGTTTCGCGGGGCCCTGGTCGAAGATGCTCCGCGTGTCGATGCACTCCCTGTCCACGGTCACGCGCCTCTTGGCCTTTGCCGGCACCTCGGGCCTCTCGCCGATTATCAGCGCTGGGTTCACGCGTCTCCGGCACCCGTCCGGCGCACTGTCGCTGATAACCGCGCGTAAACACCCACCGGCCAACGACACCGGATCCCTACGAGCGCCGCCGGTGGTGGGCGTCCCGTTGCAGAGGCGGCTCTGCCCGTTATCGGCGTCTATTAATAACGTGCCCCGCCGTTGTCTTTCGGCCGCCACGCGGTTCTCCCTGCTGACGATGCTCAGGAGGCGCTTCGAACCGCTGCTCGGCCCAACCACGTCCACGAGGTACTTGGGGGGCGATACTGGCTTCGGGTGGCTCAGGTGGTAGCCGTGTCGATCCACGAATTTCCTGTGCAGGTCCAGCAGATTGTCGGCCGTGGCTCGGACGGGGGCCTCTTGCTGGGCCGGGGAGAAACACACGAGCAGCCGCGGGTTGTCCCGCGTCGGCACGCCCGTCCAGCCATTGGCACTTTTACCACTGCATTCGACGGGCGGTGACAAGACAGAGAGTGTCCGTTCAACGGACGGGTCCTTCGGCGTAGCATCCGGGATATCGGCGCCGGTGAACTTGGCCGACGGCGCGTCGGGGCTAATATTAGCCGGCACGTAGTAGAGGTGCCCGTCGTCTGGCTCGGGTCCAGGTGGCAGTTGGGCTTCCCCGCACCCCACCGGACTCTGGGCGACGCTCGCCGCTTCAAAGCCCACCACCGGCCCGCTAGTGCCAACTTTGCCGAGCTCTTGGTCCCCCTCGGACGCGGGAGGAGGTGGAGGCGCGAGGTCACGACGCCCCAGGAGCACCAACAGGGAGCGCACAAAGTCGTCCTCGTCGGAGGGCCAGTACTGGTTTCGGGGTAGTGGGCGAGAGTCGTAGCCGCGAAACAGCCTCCCACGGCGAACCGGAGGGGGCGGCATCGCAGGCAAGTGGCGCTCCACGAGGATGATGCGCTCGATCACGGGGTGGACGCCCAGCGAGGGCTCCAAGCTCACCGACCTCATCGGGGGTGGAGGCGCCTCGATCCTCCGTTCCGAGGTGCAGCTCTCGTTCGGCGGGTCAGACTCCCCGTCCGGCATCGAGTTGACATTGTCCTCCGTGTCGCCGGCCTCTTCTTCCTTTCTCTCGATGTTTACGCTCCCGGTGCCCCCAGCAAACGCCTCGAGTAGGAAGTTTTCCGACAGCGGAGCTTCTTCGTCGATTTGCTCATCCTCCCTGGTAGCAACTTGCTCGGCGACACTTTCAGTTACGGGTGGCAGCAGTTCCGTTGCACCCTCGTTCACTCCGTCCGCGGGAGTTGTCGGACCAACGCCTTTTTTCTCCTCGGGCTTTGTTGGCTCGTCAACTCGCTCAAAGTCCTTGATCACGCTCTCCTTGAGGCTCTTCACGAGGTTCATGAACGTCTCGACGTTCTTGCACTCGGCGTACGCGTCCTCCTCTACCCTCGTTTCGTCGCGGCTCTCCTCCTCCTCCATCCTCGGCTCTCTCCTGTACTTGCCGATCTCCTCATTGATAAAGTCACGTATGTGCTCCCGCGGTGGCTTTTCCTCCTCCTCCTCCTCGTTGTTACAGTCCACCACTTCTTCCTCCTCGATGATGTCGAGACACCTGGTGTGGCTGTTGCTCGGCTCTTGATTCATTTGCAACTGGTTGTACGCCAAGGTGGCACTGCAGCCAAGTGCAGTCGTCTCCCCGACAGCCGCGTTCCCCCTCCCACTTGGCGGCTCGGCTGTTTTTCGATCGGTCGGTGAACTTGGCAGCCTCAGACCCTCGATGAAGCTGCGCAGGTGGTCCTCCACCTCCCGTGACATCGGCTTCGTCTCCGGCGCCCCCTCCTCGTCTGACTCGGCCTCGACTATGATCCCCTGCTGCCGGGGCTTCCGGCCGGCCTCCGCGTCGCTGTCCGTGACCTCGCAGATCTCGAGGAAACTGAAGCGCTTCGCGGGTATGGCCAAGGCCGTGCAAGTGGCGCCGCCACCGGAGAGGCTCTGGACCTTTGTCGCGAGCTCCCGGGGGAGCGGACCCATGGGCTCGAGGGGCTCGGTTATTGTGACGGTCGACGAGCCGAGGCTCGACTCGACTATACCGACCCCAGCCACGTGGCCGATCCGCGCCTCCAGGGGCGTCGCGTGCCTTATCGTCGTTATCTCGCAGATCTGGGTGCCGGTGTTTAGTACGCGCTTGTCGATTTTACCGGGCCGTGGGATCGGTTTGGCCGCGGTGGTGTCGGTCTTGTTCTCGGCGCGGACCTCGATGACTGAGGGGCCATTTTTCGCTGCGGCTGGTTTTTTGCGCTGCTGCCGGTTGCGCCGGTTTTTCCGGCTTCGCGATCCGCAGGGCATCCTTATCACGAGGCAGCTGCTCTCAAGCTCTTCGGTTCAATATTTTATCGTCCAGTTGTACTTTTGTTTCTGTCGGTTGGTTCGGTTATGCTCAAAGCGCAACTCGAAATTTTGGTTATTGCCGCACTCTGGGAGAATTACCAACGAACAAAACGCACACGAGCAGGCGGGGGATTCAATTTGTTATTCACTCCAATCAATGAGGGGAAGTATAGAAATTCGATGCTCAATATTGAGGGCGGGTGTCAGTGGCGCCTTCTGAGTGTACACGAGTTCGTACAGATAGGGATGAACAAAAGTAACAACAGCGACGCAGAAAGAGGGAACTCGTCTTGGGTATTTCCCTCCTTTGAAGCTAACGTGTATTAGTGTATACGCACGCGCCGAGTACGTGAAAAGGAGAGGATCAAAGAGCAAACGCGTGATTTTGATTTACACCGAGGTATATTTATACCGTCCATCTATGTCGGCTCTCTGTGTCCTATACCTTTCCCGGAGCTTCGACGCGTGTACGTTTTCCGTTACAACAGCTTGTCTTTTAAAATCGCCTCCCCCGACCAATATATACGTACAAGTCAAATGCGCGAGAAAAACGGCGGAAAGTATATATATGACGAAAGCTCACTACTCGAGTGTATGCAGGGGGGAGAAGCTTCGGCGTTGGTTTTCATGCGACAAGCCATGCTGCGGGGACGTTTTTTATTTATTATTTTTTTTAGCACTATCCCAGCTGTAGTACCAGACAGAAGCGATACTCTTTGCGATTGTGGAAAAACAAAGAAAAAAAAAAAGTAGGAGAGAAAAATAAAAGTGTACTCACTTTTATCGCTGCCGTCGTTCTGCTGCTGCTGTTTGTTCCGATTGCTGGATTCCGATTTCACGCCGCCGTTCTGATTCTCGTAGTTTGCCCCGTTTTTCGTGTCATCTGCAAAAAGGAAAAGAAGTATATGTATTAAAACAAACAATTCGTCCTCTCAACTGCCACAGAGACACCGTCTCATCAAAATACATTTCCGAGTATAATATATCAGTCCGCGTCTGAGTGAAAGTATATATATATATATATACATTAAAATTAAAAATAGCCGAGCGGACTTTCTTCGCCGCGTAACGTAGAGAGACGAGGCTGAATAATTCATTACGCGCGGAAATAATAAGCGGCGCGAAAAATGTAATGAACCTCTCGTTTCTCGTTAGCGCGGTACAAGTATATAGGTATATATACCCGCTGGTTGTAATTGGGCCGCGGTGGCACGTGAAAAAGCCACTTTTCCTTTCTGCGCGGATCTTCCCCAAAACAAACGAATCGACCAAACTGTACATTGAATAATTTATGCGCAACCGATAATTTAAAAAAAAAAAGCAGGTACATACATCAATTGGGTGCAGCATCGACAACATATTCGATTTATGTAAGTATCACCGATCGCAAGCTCGCGCGTGAGCGTAAAGCCAAAGTAGAGTAAGTAAACACGGGATGATCAAAGAGTGCGCCGAGGGAGAGCCGCGGATGGCCACTGCCGTGGACGGCCAAAAGTCTGCAGGAGAGGGTATAGCGATGTCGGGGGGGGGGGAGGCAAATGACGTGTACACACACACGAGGGTTGGGCGGGAGAACTTTGTGACACATCATACTGTTGCTGCTGAGCTGCATCGATATGCCCCCCCCCACTTTTGTGGATTTGCGTGTGAGCGTCGTTGCTTTGATTTATTTTATTTTCATTTCAATTGGATCGGGATGTATATATAATGGGAGCAGTTTGGTAAAAATGTGTGCGTATAAGAGAGAAGAATGGCAGAGGGAGTGGACTTGCGATTGTGAAGGTTGTTCATACACGTGATTCCGGGGAGCTGAGGCGTGAACGCCGCTTGGGTGGGTAATACATATATATATATGGTCGAGCGCACGGTAGCTCGGTCGACTATATAGGTCGTGGATTGGCACACAGGAGACCGTGGTTCGATTCCCGGCCAGTGCGACTTTTTCCTCGACTTTTTCGGGCAAGCACCTCTGTGTATATTTTTACATGTGCTTTTTCACCACGCAATGCTCCTCGAGGAGGGTTTAGGCGACCTTCTCGCAGCAAAAATTGTCTAATTTCCCCCTACCCCCCTCCCAATAATGGGAGGCCTCCCAACCCTTTCCTTGTCCCTTTCCCAAGTGCTAAGTGCCCATAGTAGTGCCCTTATTAAAAAAGAGCCGGACGTAGAGCACTCTAATATAAAAAAAAAAACATGTACTTATATATATCTATGTAAGCGCTCGTTGGCTTGTAAATTATGCGCTCGGGCGTGTGTGTGCGAGAACGTCGATGACGACGATTATGTTTGATTTGAAACCGAGCCAGGGCTCGTCTTTCTTTATACGCATACATACACATCGGTACTGCGACTATATGCGCGATCGCAGATCGGTATATACACGCGTATAAAAATAATACATACAGTTACTTTGAATATATTATACTTATGGAAGAATTAATCAGTCTATTTTATGGTTTTGAATGAATCTTGATACAGGTATAGAAGAAGAAAAAAAAAAACAACTTTACTCACAGTTTTAAGGATCCCACTTGTACACCTTTCTTCGCAGAGAGGATGAATAAACGACGAGTGGCGGGAAAAAAAAAAAAAAACAAAATCGAAAACTTTGACAGCCTGGCAATCGCGTCTCAAGGCAAGAGTCACCCCTGAAAGGGTGCACGCGGAGCAAAGTGCCCCCGATCCTCGATTACACTTGCACAAAGCGAAACCCCCTCGAAAGGTGGATACACGCGGAACGCGCCGCACTGTGCCTCTCAAAGTACATAGGCACAGAGGGAGACTTGCCGCGACTATTCGAATCGGGCGTGCGCGTACGTACTGAAATCCACATCGGAGAGTAGCTCAAAGAGGGTCCCCGGCGTAGGTACACATGTATAGGTATACAGCGCAGTGCCACTTCCGAGGGGACGAACTTCCTTCCGAGCTGCCAGACAATGACGAGAATGCTCGTTCGGTCGGAGTACACTGCATATTGGTGTGCGCGCGTGGGTGACCCCACCCAATTGGAAACACGCCCGGCCCAGGTGTGCACGGCCCTACCTATACACCACGTATATCTATGCACTATTATACTATTGGTGCAGCATACGTATGATGTTATACTTGTATGCTGTTGACACAAAGTCTGGGTGAATATGATACATGCATGTGTATACATGGATATTTATCAGGTCGCGATGCAGACGCGGGTGGAATGACGGGTGACGGCTGGCAAGGATGATTGGATAATTGAATCCTGGCAATTGAAGGAAGGCTAAATGCCGTTGTTGGTGTATTTTGTGCGTGATTGACGGCCGGGTTATAGCTAACACGAGGAGCGCAATGCGCCGAAACATCCACGTCCTTCGTTGTCGCATCATCGCAGCTATGTCATTTCGATTAGTATATATTCTATATAACGATAATCCGTTGGAAAGTTCGGGGTGGGAGTTAAAACGGTGCGCCTACGCCTCGCGATCGATTATGTACACCCATACCCACGGCTTTCCTGAAAACCCGTATTATGTTATGTGCACGCCGAGTTGCAAACTCGAAATTATCGACGATCGTGTCGATAGAGCCATTTTGCTTGCAGATGCGCCGCAACGACCCCGGATAAACGTCCAATATTTACCGAGAACTTTCGCAAAACTTCGGAGTAAGAAAGGGAGAGTCGTCGGGGGTGAGGGCAAATTCAACTTTCCGACAGTATAGTCCATTAAAAAATCGTCTTGGCTGACGTTACCGCTGCTGGTGTTGTTGGCACGCAGGTGTATACCTGAAAAAGGCAAGCATCGGCGAAGGGATGAAAAAAAAAAAAAAAAAAAAAAAAAAAAACAGGAGAGGAGGGGTAATAGAGCCGCAGGCTTCGTGTAATTTAGCAATTAGCCGGAGCGTCAGCAGTCGTTCGTCAACCCCCGCGAGTTACCTCTTTTTTGTATAAACACACACACACACACACACTTGCGCACAGCTGAGCTAGAAACTATAGACAAGAAAGAAAGATACTCTCCCCTGAAGGCGTACACACGCGCGCACGGGGTGAGTGACTCTCTAACTAATTAGGTTGCGCCTCTCGAGAGGGTGTCGAGCTTTTCGCGCCAGAGCACGTGGCCTGTGTGTATTACACGCAAACAAACGGCGGTGTAGTGTGTGCCGTGTACCCCCTTGCTGTGCTGGAGGAAAAAAAAGAAAAAACATGGTACACCGGGGTGGCTCTCTAAGGGCATATAAATATCCATACGAGGGAGGGGGAGGAGAGGCTGTATAGGGTATCGATTTATCCGAGAACCGCGGCAAAAGAGCCACCCTGTACGGATCGCGTTATTATTGCCTCGCTGCCGCTGTCACCTCTGCCGCTCGCCCCGATTTGCCTCTGCTCTCGTTAATTGGAGTTCCTGGCGCTGCACTGTGTTAACGTCTCTGATGCTCTTTTCCCTCGAGCTGCTTTTTCTCCCGCGGGGCTATTGTCGCTTTAAAATGAATCGCGCTCCTCGACACGACGCACGATTTATCGCGCCGCGGTTTATTGCTCCTCGTCGATTTGCTTGCTACTATACGTTCCATTGGTCGGTCATCTCCGTGAGACTATCCAAACACCATTACTTATTGACGCACCTTTTTTTTTACACATTCAACAGATCGGCAAAACAACAAGCACGTAACGTGTTATTCAATCGTTTCGCTCGATGAGCAAAATAATATGTGTTTACACACGTGTATTATAAACACGAGTGTTTGAGCGCATGCAGTGGTAAAAATCGCCACGAGCGTGGCAAGCAAAGGGTCAGCGGTGACGCAATCGATTACCCAATCGATCCTCGCGGCCTCCCCTCGGCGCGAAACCGATAGCCACGGCGACGCCTCCCTCGACCAAAAATAACGCCGAGCCGTCGCCTACATCCGCATGCGACATCGCAGCGTTCCCCGACTGCCCGACAATGCCAACGATGATATAAAAAGAAGCCCGAAAGAAAGGGACGTACGCGATGGGCCCGGCCCTACTGGCCCGTGACACCGCGCCTCTACACACATACAAACGAGAGATGTACGTTGCAGCGCCCCTCTTCGTGCTTGTACAGATTGGCAGCCGGCTACTGTGCGCTGCATAAGTACGTGTGGGTACGACGTTTCTAGGCCATCACAGAAGCTACGATACCACCGCACGGATAGGTGTGGCATAGCGATCGAATCTGTTTGAAAGTACTGAAAGGTGTTTTTTTTTCTTTTTTTGTTTTTTCGTTGTTCGGTAGCGGTACAAAATGTTGGGCATGATTTAGGTTTAATAAAAAGTATCGATGCCCTCGTGAATTACTCGTAAAATATACGTGAAGAATAAAACAAACAGGGACACGGGATTTCGTTCGCCGAGTAGCACTTTATGTATGGATTCGTAAAAACGCGGCTGCGTTTATCATTTTCACCACCCATCGGAGCGAGCATTAGAGCCTCGTCGTAAATCAACTTTTTTTTTTTTTTTTTTTTTTTTTTTTTTTTTTTTTTTTTTTTTTTTTTTTTTTTTTTTTTTTTTGTAATAAAACGCAAGAAAATTCCCACGCTGCAGTTACCGATTCCGTGTCACGCAAAAACCGGTACATCGCGATGTCCCCTAGAAAAAAAACCAAAACAAAGAAAACAGCAGAGAGCAAAAACAAGCAGCACTCGGGAAAAAAAGCCCCGACATGTATAGGAAGAAGCCGGCTGTTGTTGCGCTGAAAATCGATGATATCATTCCGTCGGACTCGGCCCATTCAGTACAGCCGACGCGTTATTGTGTACGTCGGATCGATCCCACCCTCCAGATGACGTTTGCGGTCCAGAGGCTATACGGCTCCCCCCCCCCCCATCCTGATCCGTATACAGGTCTCCGTTGCAGGTACGCGCCCACCCACGGCTTATCTCTAACGACTCCACGCGACCTTCGTGCATATATATATATACGTGCACTCCTCCGGCTTATGGCCAACCGTACGACAGAGCGGCTTGTATAATACAGGATGGGGGGGAGGGGGGGCATATTCGCGGTGGTTCGGAAAAACTGGACGTGCTGTATCGAGCTTTCGGCGGGTTGGGACGGAGCTGTGAATGCGAGAGGACGAGAGCACGTGGAGGGAAAAAAAAAAGTAAGAGCCACCGAGCAGTGTATGGATAGTAGGGGGAGTTTTCATTGCGGCCCAGGTGCCGCGCCCGCAGAGTCCGACTCTGAATTTTTCATCGCGAGCTTTATTGCGCGACTGTATCCTTTTTTTTTTTTTTTTTTTTACTTTCCTTCTCTTGTACCGCTCGTTTCGTACTTTATGCTCGAACGATGTTGCGCGTAAAAATGAAAGGGAGGCTATCGTGTGATCCTCCCCCTTTTATTAAAAAAAAATTCATCCCGATGCTACTTGTTCACCAAAAAAAAGGGAGAGGGGAGGGGGGCAAGAAGGACAGATTTACGACCCTGTACTGTCGCACGTACAGAGAACCCCGGGAGAGCTTATCGGGATGGGCAAAGCGACGCGCAGTTCTGCGTATGGAAAAAAAAGAAAGAGAAAAAGGAGGGACTCTGCTTCCGGAGGCTGGTGGGGTACACATAGCACTGCCACCGCGAAGGAGGAGACAACGCGAGCCGTCAAGCGTATCGAGCGTGTTCACGCGTTAACGCACTCTGTTCCGGCCGATCATGCGTGCATGAAGTAGGTACACGAGCTTCCACCGTTTTGTGCAATTGCGATAATCAGAGCGCGTCCTTTCGATTTTTCCTGTTTTTTTTTTTTTTTTTTTTTTTAAATTGTTGTTTGTGCACAACTATACAAAAAAATCACTACAAATGCGTGGGGCCAACATGAGCTGGTGGATGACTTTGTTAGTTGATGATTGATGCGTATGCTGCCATGAATTGAAAATCATTGGACGACGAGTAATCGTGTGAATTTTCAATAATCCCTTTATTGTATATTTCTCGTGTGTACAGTAATTTTAGATTTTCGCGTACAATTCAAAGCGCGGACAAACGAAAACGAAAAAAAAAAAGACAACTCCCCAAGAAAAAAAAAGAAAAGGTCCATCGTCATCCTACAAACTCATCTTGCCAAAGTCGCTAAAGACGATCTCCCTGTCGCCGCGGCAACGGTACCGGTGCTCTTTACCGATTTTCACGACCAGGGCCCTGTCCTCGATCGTCCGGTCGGCCAGAAAAGTCGTCCTCCGCTCGACGTAAAAGTCCTCGAGCCTCGTCCCCGGCTCGACGCTCAGCTTGATTTCCGTCCCGCCAGCCTGCACCCGGCCCTCTTCTGCCAATCCAGCCACCCTCGCCTCGTCCGCCAAATCGACCCGCAACTCCCTACCGCCTCCGGGCTCCCTGAAGCGCACCCTCCTCCCCGCGTCCTCGTTCCTCCGGCACTTTGGCTCCTCGAGGCCGACGGTGTTCATGCGCCGAAAGTCGAGCGAGTTGAGCTCCCTCCCCAAGCTCGGCCGGTCCCCCGCGAAACTCGGCGGCGGCTCGAGCACCGGCTCCCCGAGGGCGCGCTCCTCGTACATGCGGATCAAGCGCTGGGTGCGCGACTGCCGACGCCTCGGCTGGACCGCCGGCTCGGCGACTCGTCGACAACTCCGGGGTGTCCTCCACGGGACGTACCACCTGGACTGGCCAAGTTTCGGGCTCGCACGCTTGGTCGGGCCCACGAGGGGACTCGTCGACGCCTCCCGGGGCTTGCCCGGCTCGTCGGAGAAGCACCGCGAGCACGACAAAAACTTCATCCTCCTGTACCTGTGACCCTCCTATGGCGAATGTTACTCGCGCACTTGCACAGCCCTGTATATTATACTGTCGGTCGTTTGCATCCAAGCAAACGGGACAGTACAACGGCAGCTAAGCTCGAGTGGTCTGTAGTTTGTCGGTCATCGCGTGGCACGTGGGTCGCGGAGCTACGCGTTGGAGTGCAGGAGCAAAGGTGTCGCGGCAACGACTGATCGGGGCTCTCCTTGGCGACGCGCGCTACCAAGGCTCCCCGCGCTTTCATCGGTGTACTTGCGCGTATAGGAAGAAAAGAGCGGGGTGCCCCCTCCTCCCGGTGACTCTCACTCTCGTGCGCCCAAGAGGAGGAGGAGGAAGAAAAGCGAGCGATGGGCTCGTTAAGTGGTTAGGGTGCGACTTCCTCCTCGGCGAACCAAGTCAACCGAGCACTCGAGGGAAGACGGTTGTCCACGTGCGTTGTTCTCTTCCGAATGCCTGTGCACATACACGATCGCGGGACTGCAGGTGTGACGCCGAGAGTTACGAGGGGAACAAAGCAACGGCCGTCAACATACACCACCCTCTCCGCTACTCCTACGCGTATACTTTATACATATATATATATTTTTGGTCCCCTTCCAAGACGCTTGTTCGGCCTCGAGTTTATAATTTTTGTGTGCTATCCTTCCTTCGCTCGGTCTTAATTTGCCGATTACCCGAGCACTGGAACTATGTGGCAATTGACGACGCTGACGAAGCGCCGCTCCTTTTTCGGGGGAAACACGCGCGGGCTCTTGATGACTCGTACGTAACGCAAGTATCGAGATGTGACCGATGGAAGGACGCTCGTTTACGGGTGTGGGCATCACCCAACTATACGACCTGACAATTGACCTGAAGATCGCGAACGAGTGAGCACCACACTTTTTGTTTTTTTACTCGGGCGACGAGGGAAGGGCCACTTTGGTTCGATTGAAAAGTTCCACGGAGAGACGGGCAATCGAGGGGACTTTTTGCCGGAAGCCGATGTATATACTCCGAGAGACCGTTCGATGCGAGGATTGATGCACGGGAAGCTATATTATCATGAATTCCGTGCCTTCTTTAACAGCCAGCGCGACCGTTCGAATACCACGAGGCGATCCTCCACGTGCCCATTAGACCTCTCCCGTTTCTTACTACCACCTATATGATGAATTATGCAGTGTACGGATCCATCACTTACGGTACAGCGCGCCCGATTGCACTTACATCCGCGGCAGCGTGACGGTACGCGCCAAGGCAGCGCGTAATAACCGATGGACGACGCAAAAACAATAACAATTGCTCCTCCTCCGTTACACATACCATACAACTGCGCTCAATTATGCATGCAGGGTCAAACTGGTGTACTGTGTCGGAGTTTGCCTGCTAACCATTGGGAAGATTGGACGGGTCCTGGTGTTACTGTTCGTTGTTATTGTGTACCGTTGTTGGTGCTCTCTTTGAAAGATTGAAGCGCTCGAGAGGGAGAATAAGAGCAGTCGAGGGTGCGCGCGATTTTTCGTCTCTACTCCGTGCTGTTGTATATAATTCACACGCACCGAGGAACGAGAGCAATTTTCCCGGGGTGGGCGTTGAATTTTTCAGCCCAGCGTCGTTTGGGATATTCAAGAGCGCGAACGTGCTAATTTGGTCTTTTTTTTTTTTTTTTTCTTCCGGGACGGTCGCGACGAAAGCCGATTTGTATAATTTTTGCTCCGCGGGGCGAGAACTTGGATCGATCGGCTTTTCGCGCAGTCATCGGGGGACACTTTGGCATTTGATATTTTAATTGCTCGTCATTAGAGAAGTTTGAGCATATACCCACTCGCTCCAGCTCTCGTCTTTCCGTCCAATTAAAAAGTAATTACAGAGAACAAAGAGTCATTTTCTAAGAAAAAAATTTTTTTTTTTCTTTTCGCTCCAACTTTGAGCTGCTGTTCTCTGCGTTACTCTGTCCATAGAAATTAGACGCTTACGTAAATAACAATGCGTGGCTCGGGACAATAGTTGCTGGATCACGTAACTTGGTGATACTGTACTATCCATGCGCATTGACAAAAACAAAGCAAAAACTTAATTAAATATATTTAGGTCGAGTAGGCCAGCCTTCAAGGATAAACGTATTGTGAACAAGCCATTGCACTCACCCTTTCCGTTTTTCCGCGTTTCCGTGACGTGCGTATTCGTTGTTGTCGTTTTTGTTGTGATTTCTGTTCAAAAACAAATGAAAGTGTAATGAAAATGGTAATGTCTTTTTTTTTTTTTTTTTTTTTTTTTCAAAAGAAAATTTTTCCTTACTCTTGATTGTTTCGATGGATGTGTTCTCCTGGAGGCTGCTCTTGTAGATTCTTCTCTTTGGCGAAGCGTTTTCTCTGAAAAACCAAAGGAAACAAAAACATCATCCTCCAATTAACGAACTCGTAATTAAAAAAAAACTGCGCTCGGTTTCATGAATCATTCCCATGGAAGACCTGGTTACTATATACGAAAACCATTCATCAAATGAAAGACAAAAAAAAACCCCTGCTCTATTCATCGGGTCTAATTAAGCTTCTCGCACAAAAGTGCACGAATAACACACACACCTTCCGCTCCCGATACGGCCGATCAAAAAATGCGAATCGAGAGCACGCGCGGGTCGAATTTTCCGCTTTGTTAACCCACCACTCGTGTCCCAACCCATATGGAAAAAAAAAAAGATAAAATAAAAAAGAAAACCCAAGCCACGGAAAGCGTAGCTCCAAACAAAGTAGTACGGCGTTTAGCCACGAGCTTTCAAGAGATGAAACCGACACGGGATTGATCGGACCTAGTGAGCAGAGACACACCCTCTCCCACACTGTACGCTATCACCCGTGAATCGGAGGATCGGACTGTAATCCCCCCCCCCCCTCCAAAGTATCGTTTGCTTTGCTAATTGCTCTCCGGCTCGTGGTTGTTTTTTTTTTTCCGAGTCTTTTCGCGTATATCGATCTGCCTTTTTTTCACCGCGGCCCGGGGAAAATTTTAAATTGGAAGGCGTGACACACAGACGTTGCGTAAGAGCATCAAGCGAAGGATGGGTAATCGCTTTATGCATTTAAGATTTGAGCTCAATTAAAATTTCATTCGGGGGATTACGGCAAAGCCGCGACGGTGAAGCTCGCGCGCTCTCTCTCCGTGCCCGGGCGGGCTTGAATTTTAATATGCTTTGCCGCGTCGACTCTTTCGCTTGGAAGGGAAGCGATTATGGCGGTTCGCGAGCTCTCAATTTATCTATTTACTTTTTTTTTTTGTTTTTTGTTTTTTTTTTCGTTTGACGCAAGCGCACTTTTTCATCATCATAATATCATATATTTTTCTCCGGTGTTGGTTATCGAGACTTACTGGTTGAGGCCCAACTTGAGCTGGTCGCCGGCGTTGCGGAGAAGCCCGTGGGCCTCGATGTTGGTCAGCTCGCGCGTGCTCTTGCCGTTGATGCTGCTAATGAGGTCGCCCTCGCGCACCCCCTGCTGGGCAGCCTTGCTTCCCGGGTTCACCTGAAAACAAAGATTCAACCCGTTTATCATCCATCCGTTCTCGAATCACGGAGATTTACACGCCCCCCTACAAAAACCGGCTGCTGATGCTGCATTTCATTTTTTTCTTTTATTTCAAGCACACGGTATTCACGGACAGTTTTTTTTTATTTTTTCGACAGTCAATTTAGAAATCGGATCGTTGACTTTTTGTAAGGCTGTTCGAAAATACAGATTATCGCCAATTTTCCATTGGATCGAAATGTACGTCGCCTGACGGTAAAGTGCTTCAATACAAGTAATATATATTGTACAGCACCCGTTTGGAGGGAGTTGGCGGTACTGCTTATTCACGAGGTGTAATTGTATATTAACGTTTCGTTGATTTGCATGAAGCACGTGTAAACACCCTCCCTATTCCCCTCGCAACTGGTGTCCCTCTCGAAACAACAATGAAAAGGCGTGCCGAGCACTCGCGGCAAACTCAAAATACGCGCGATCAATGGTATTCTTCCTTCTGTCAATTTCACAATATCCAGCTCACACGTACCCTCGATCCCTCTAAATACAACCACGAGGCGCGAACCTCCTCCCCCCAACCCTCACCTGCTCTAACGTAAGTACACACGCGTCTGTTCTCGTCAAATCCTTCGCATCCACGAGGGGGTGGTAACGCGCTTACGCACACTGCACTGCACACACCTGCCTCCCTCCGAGCGTTAAACCGTTGACAGCGCAGCTCTCGGAGCAAACGACTGATTAGCAAGTAGCGGCGCATCAGCTATTAAATCACACGTCAGTATACGTATATACATCTCTACATGATGTATAGAAGCGCGCGTGTTTGATGCGAGTGTGTATATAATATAAGTAAACGCTGAGACCGGTGCCGCGCCCCGTAATACCCTAACCGCGTGCACTCGCGAGTATCTGGTTGCCGGTACACCAGGCGCACTTCTCCGAGCGAGGAAACGAGCCAATATAAAGCTCTCGGATGAAATTCCCGCTGGTGGATGGGTGCACGAATAGGGGAGGTATCGTGAGGGGCGGGGGATATGCAACACGCTCCTGGTGTTTAAGCTCGACTTTTGGGAGTGCGTAATTTCGACGTGCTTTTCACTGAGCGACCCAATTCTGTGAATCAAAGAAAATTTCTTTACCCTCATTCCGTTAAATATTTTCTTTTAGTTGAAACAAATGAGAAATTCGTAATTAAAAAAAGAAAATTTGAATTTAATAAAATATTATTTTAAATTAACTTATATTTTTTTACTCATAAGAAAATATTTAACGGAATGAGGGTAAAGAAATTTTCTTTGATTCAAAGAATTGGGTCGCTCAGTGATATCTTCTCGGGCGTGTGAGCCGTTATGTTGCGAGCTTGGCGGGGTACGTAGAGTTACAGGGTACGGGGTGGTTATGGTTGCAGTAAAACTGTGGTGCGTGTTTTCGAGTTGTTAAAATTTTTTTTCCCCGTATACGTTTGCCGGATTCAATGTCACTCTGCTTAAAAATCCTTGAATGAATTGAATCGCGTGTTTGTACAATTACCTGACTATATGTATTTCCGGGAGTACCTACAAGTGCGTATATTTTTGTTAAAACGATGATGAAAGTGTTTCAAAACGGTACTAATAATAGGCAAATGATTGGCTTGTAGGGGCGGAAAGGGGACAACTCCTGACATTTTTCGACCCCCCCTTTTACGCCAAAAAACCACTCACGTCAAAAGGACAAAAACAGTCTCGCTGCTCGTAGAGGCAAATTTCACCTATCTTTGGGGGTCTGCTTACAGCACGACACCAAATTTTTTCCTTCCTTGGCACACGTCGACGAAATCTACTTCTTATTTCCAAGTGAAAATCTCGTGGTATCGCAGAGCTACCTCTTGACAAGCCTCCAAAATCCCATTGGACCTAATTGCAAATGCCCCCGTTGTTGGTGAACAAAAGTCGAACCATTCCCTATCCACCGGGACCGAATTTCCCTTTCGACCGTCATCAGGTACTATTCTACGTTATACCCCACGTCGTGCGACCCTGCACAACAGCATCAGCAGCTACAGGGGAAAAAGGGGGGGCGTGGTAGAGCAGCCCAAGCGGGCGTGCAATCAAAAATTCCAGCTCCTTTGTAGATTTTCGCGCAAATATAATGGAGTAAATGACACTGTGTAATGTAAAAAGGTGTAGCGCGGTGGGGCAGGTCGGATCGTTTGCTCACCGTGTACGTCGGACAGGTGTTGGTGGCTGCGTTGCAGTGGCGCCGACGCTGAGCCGGCGAGCAGAACTTGAGCATGCCGATCACGCGTGCCTGAACACAAACTTCCACTCACACACACACTGACTTGTCCACACGGAAGCACCAGCGCAGCTTACACTGCAGTACAGGTATATATATATTATATACGCGCGCAGCTTCCCTCCTCCTCCTCCTCCTTCGTGCCCCTCTGCGTGGAATTTCCTCGCTCTTCTCTCGAGCCTTGACGGGCCCCGCGCACGCAGTGCGTATACACGTCGACCCCCTGGGGCGGCTCGCGTATACCCTTAAAGTCCTCACATTTACCGAGTTTTTGGTATTTATGGAATCTTGGGGGAGCTAAAGTTTTTAGACTCCACACGGACACGTATAGGGTATGGGGCTGCAGGTTACATACACCGTCCTTACACCAACACGTGGTGTGGGTAATTAAGAAGCTCGGCCGCGATGCCAAAGTTTACACCGCTCGCTCGCTGCATATTTCAATTCAATAGCTCAAACTTGAACCGGTTAATCATTTATACGACATTGTATTTCCGGGTAATAATTTTAATTCCAAGCTGTACACTCGAAGCGCCTTTGTTTGTTCTTGTCCATTTTTAAGTTGTATTTATATATACTTTTGCGCATAAACATGGGTTTTCGGTTGATCATCCTTTATCGCCACACATAGGCTCTTCGTGATCGCGAGCGCGGCTCATTAATTTTCCCGATAAATTGCCCGAATATCGGGATATTGATTATATTTTCAAACGCAAGTCAACACCCGCACGTTCACGCGGTATTGCGTGTATACATAATTATCAAAGAGTCACTCCCTCACTGAACGACATCGATCATTGATTGTTATCCATTCCGGTATGTGTACGTATAGATAATAATCGATGGAGGGTAGAATTACCAATCGAACCACTTTGAGCACTGCACACTGTCGAAAAAAAGAAAAAATTCACGTTACTCCCGTGCACACCGAACCAAGTGGCCCATCTATAATACACGCACAGGGGGAGAAAGGACGCAGGTATAGATGCGATGTGTAAGGCTATAGGCGCCCAGGGCGCGCGACAAGAGACTGACTGACTGGCGCACGCGAGGAGGGTTGCCGGAGTGCAGGCCTCGGAGCCCCCAATATATAGAGTTGCGCGCCTCGGGGTCGAGCCTCTCTCGCGAACTGTGCCGCCATACCGTGACTATATGTATTGTATATATGTATACAATGGTGTTACACAGGTGTACGTGCCCGTGTGTGCGGGCGTGTATTAGTAGGCGCGAGAGAGAGTGTGTACTTTCTTCCGAAGCGAAGAGAAAAAACGTCTATACACCGTCTTCTGTTTGTTTCTTTTCCCTCCCATCTTACCCCCTTTTACGACCCGCTATACATGTGGGGCATGACCGTCGGCCTCGAAGCTTGAGGGTGTGGAGCACACTATAACGGGGGATGGAGGTTTTATCTTGTTGTCGTGGCTTTTGGTGGTTAAAAAAGGGAATACACGTACAGGATGCAATTCATCGACTCGGAATTTCGGATGCCAATTGCGCGGAGGAGGGAAATACCTGATACGTTTTCGTAGAAATTGGGGGGGAGGGGGGGGGCAAACAGAAAAACAGAAAAACAGAAGAGCTGTTGGAACAAAAACACACGAGAGCAATTTTGTTCCGGATTCAATTACTTTGCAATCGAAAACATTGGCAAAGGCAGGGAGGGGTGTAACAAAATAAATAAAACGAGGAAGAAAGAAAAGCCAGGCCAAATCCGATAAAAGTAACGAAGAGTGCCATTAGGTCCATTAACGTGGTACACGTTGTGTGTGTGTCTATATTTATACACGTATACCCTCGCTTCGCAATCGATCCGAGCCTTCGACCGACCGACCGACTGGAAGCTAATACACCCCGCCACCCCTTTTTTTTTCTAAACCATACAAACAGGGTTGGGCGCAAAAGAAAAAAGAAAAAAAAAATTGGGCGCGGGCGGTGCCTTGCATACATCCTCCCTCACCTTCTTTGCAGCTTCTTCCACTCTGTTTACTCCCGTTCGGCGTGGCTGTATTTACTAGGGAGGCTGGCCGAGCGACGAATTACTTACGGAAGCGGAAGTACATCCGATCGAGGGGCCCTTTTTCGCGCAAAGACATCCCAGTCTTTCGTCGAGAAATCATATTTTTCATGCCAGTGGTCGCCCGAAGGGCACTGAGACTCTCCTTTCAGAGTCGGCCCCGGAGGTTGACATGAAAAATGAGTCGCGATAGAGTACACACACACACACACACACACACACACACACACACGAAGAACCTCCCTACGGAGGTAAAAGAGCTTGCCGGTAGGATGAAAGGAGGAGTGGGTCACTATGTGGTTAGCGAGTTTACAAAGCAGGAAAATTGGAGCTTTTGCTTCGGCGGATACCTATACATATACACGGTATATTGGCACGACGCACAATGTACATATAGAGGTCGGGAGGAGAAAGAGAGCAATCGCATGTGGTGTATATATGTGCAGTGATTGACGGTGGATTTTTCGCGAGTTTTGACATTATTAGGTACACGCCATGATATTGCACGCTACATTTTTGAGTTTCAAGGAGGTGTTGTTATCTCGTTGCCCACGCGATTTCACAGATGCTGCTACGTATACGAATTTTGTTATGAACCAGCAAAAAACTAAATACGGTGCATAGCCTCGGGTTGATTGTATAAAAAACGTACGATTTGTTTGTTGTGAATATTCACGGGATTTCATTTTGCGAGATCCCAGAAATTTTG